ATCTCACTGATATGAGGAATTTGAGAAACAAGACAGAGGATCATAGGGGAAGGGAGGGAAAAATGAAACAAGATGAAACCAGAGAGGGAGACAAACCATAAGAGACTCTTAATCTCAGGAAACAACTGAGGGTTGCTGGAGTGGAGCAGGGTGGGAGGGATGGGGTGACTGGGTGATAGAACTTGGGGAGGGTATGTGCTATGGTGAGAACTGTGAATTGTGTAAAACTGATGAATCACAGGCCTGTACCCCTGAAACAAATAATACATTATATGTTAATAAAAATAGTAATAATAATAATAATAATAAATGTGAACAACTGAGAATTTCCATATTTAAAACCAACAACAATAAAGAGAAAGGTCAAAATGAGTACAGAACAACTGATTCTGGACAAAACAAAATAATTGCAGTAAGAGAGGAGGACTTCAAAATCATTCTCATTAGTATTATAAGAAAGACTCGAGAATATATCCATTTACAAACTAGAATAAGCTAATATGCAAAAAGGGAATAACAAAATAAGTAAGAATCCATGAAACATAAGGATGCAATTATCAAAATTAAGGGAAAAAATTAGTTGAGGTGGAAGAAAAAAAAAATGAAGTCTCCCAAAATGTAAAGCAATAAAACCCAGAGGTGTAAATATCTCTTTTTAAAGTCAAGAATAAGATATAAATCCACAAAAAGATGGAAAAACATTCCATGCTCATGGATCAGAATAAATATTGTTAAAATGTCTATGCTACTCAGAGCAATCTATACCTTCAATGCCACCTGATCAAAATTCCAATGACATTTTTCAAAGTGCTGGAACAAACAATCCGAAAATTTGTATGGAATCAGAAAAGACCCCGAATTGCCAAGGAAATGTTGAAAAAGAAAAACAAAGCTGGGAGCATCATGTTGCCTGATTTCAAGCTTTATTACAAAGCAGTGATCACCAAGACAGCATGGTACTGGCACAAAAACAGACATATAGACCAATGGAACAGAATAGAGAGCCCAGATATGGACCCTCAACTCTATGGTCAAATAATCTTTGACAAAGCAGGAAAAAATATGCAATGGAAAAAAGACAGTTTCTTCAATAAATGGTGCTGGGGAAATTGGACAGCCACATGCAGAAGAATGAAATTAGACCATTCTCTAACACCATACACAAAGATAAACTTAAAATGGATGAAAGACCTCAATGCGAGACAGGAATCCATCAAAATCCTAGAGGAGAACATAGGCAATAACCTCTTTGACATCAGCCATAGCAACTTCTTTCAAGATACATCTCTAAAAGCTAGTGAAACTAAAGCAAAAATGAACTTTTGGGACTTCATCAAGATAAAAAGCTTCTGCACAACAAAGGAAATAGTCAACAAAACAAGGAGGCAACCCACAGAATGGGAGAAGATATTTGCAAATGACACTACAGATAAAGGGCTGGTATCTAAGATCTATAAAGAACTTCTCAAACTCAACACCCAAAAAACAAATAATCAAGTCAAAAAATGGGCAGAAGACACGAACAGATGCTTCTCTGAAGAAGACATACAAATGGCTAACAGACACATGAAAAAATGTTCATCATCATCAGCCATCGGGGAAATTCAAAGTAAAACCACATTGAGATACCACCTTACACCAGTTAGAATGGCAAAAATTGACAGGGCAAGAAACGACAAATGTTGGAGAGGTTGTGGAAAAACAGGAACCCTCTTACACTGTTGGTGGGAATGAAGCTGGTACAGCCACTTTGGAAAACAGTGTGGAGGTGCCTCAAAAAATTAAAAATAGAGCTACCCTATGACCCAGCAATTGCACTCCTGGGTATTTACCCCAAAGACACAGATGTAGTCAAAAGAAGGGCCATATGCACCCCAATGTTCATAGCAGCAATGTCCATAATAGCCAAACTGTGGAAAGAGCCGAGGTGTCCTTCAACAGATGAATGGATAAAGAAGATATGGTCCAGGGGAGGGGGGTGGGAGGATGCGTTAGCCTGGTGATGGGTATTAAAGAGGGCACGTTCTGCATGGAGCACTGGGTGTTATGCACAAACAATGAATCATGGAACACTACATCAAAAACTAATGATGTAATGTATGGTGATTAATATAACAATAAAAATTTTTTTAAAAAAAGATGTGGTCCATATACACAATGGAATATTACTCAGCCATCTGAAAGGATGAATACCCAACTTTTACATCAACATGGATGGGACTGGAGGAGATTACACTAAGTGAAATAAGTCAAGCAGATAAAGTCCATTATCATATGGTTTCACTTATTTGTGGAACATAAGGAATAGCATGGAGGACATTAGGAGAAGGAAGGGAAAAACGAAGGGGGTAATCGGAGGGAGAGATGAACCATGAGAGACTAAGGACTCTGAGCAACAAACTGAGGGTTTTAGAGGGGAGGTGGATGGAGGGATGGGTTAGCCCAGTGATGGGCATTAAAGAGGGCACATACTGCATGGAGCACTGGGTGTTATATGAAAACAATGAATCATGGATCACCATATCAAAAACTAACGATATATTGTATGGTGACTAACATAACATAATAAAATAAAATTAAAAAAAAAAAGATATAAATCCACAAGGTCCAACATCCATCTAAGGAGGATCTTAAACAAAAGAACAAAGAACAAAGGAGGAGAAATAATCAAATAGTAGAAGAAAATCCCTAGAGCCTAAAACACGACTCTTCAGCAATTGTGGTTCAGCAAAAATGAAAAATAACTCAGAAACACAACTTCACTAAAGGTCAGTACATCTCAATGGGTGCATCTTTTCAATTCTTTTCTCTGGATCCTCTTCTCTTTGATCTCTAAATTATATGTACGCAAGGGCTTATTATTTTCACTTCTTTTTCTCTGCTATATTTCACTCATTCACTAAATGATCTCATCTAAACTTATCATTTTGAGGGGTGCTTGGGTGGCTGAGTCGGCTAAGCACCTGACTCTTAATTTCAGCTCAGGTCATGATCTCAGGGTCATGATACTGAGCCCCCCGACAGGCTCCACACTCAGCAGAGAGTCTGCTTGAGGATTCTTTCTCTCTCCCTCTGCCCCTCACCCCACTCGTGCTCTCTTTCTAAAAAAATAAATAAATCTTTAAAAATAAATAAATAACGAACTCATTACTTTGAATGTCATCTATACATTGATAACCCAAATTTTATCTGTCCATTCACAATCTCTCCATAAAACTCCAGACATCAAATTGATTTGCTTTCTGCAATCTAACCTACATTTCAAATATATTATGTCTACAATAGAATTATCATCTCGATCCATACTCCAAACTGCTCATCTCCTTGTCTTCCCCATCTCAATAAACAGGCCACCATTAATCCAGTTGCTCAGGCCATAAAATCACAGGTCATGCTTAACTCCTCTCTTGCTCACGTTCTGCCTCCAATCCATCAGCAAGGTGAACATCTAGCACGGATTTCCCAGAATGGTATGTCCAAGAACAGGAATTCCCTAACACTATGATGAAGCTGCATCCTCTCTCCTACCATTCACGACCCTGTTTGTACTAATTACATCTCTCATTCAAAGCAATGCAGTTTTTAAGAGCATGAGAATGCCTCTCTTTGTCTATGGCACAAACACTGCATGTTCTACAGTAAATAATATTTACATGATATTTTAAATGTTGAATATTGGTTTCCATTTTCAAATTAACAAACTATAAAAGACTTAATTTGCCTAACTTAATTGTAAATTCTGTATACCTTGAAAATGTGAAAGTAATGCAAAACAGGAAGTAACAGGTGGGAGTAGATGTGGAGGAAAATACAAGGACAACAAATCTGACTTACCCAGTAGAAAATCAAGAAGCACTATCAAAAACTATCAAGAAATGGGATTTTTATGAAGTTAAATAACAAAAGAGGTTTTTAAATGAGCTGGCAGGAAGTGGGAGTGGGGAAAGAGGACAAGCGTAAGTGAACTTGATATCTTTCATGCCACAGGTGGGAAACAATGGTTATTTTTAAATCGATACGTGAACAAATAAAGTGTATGAATATTATTTAAGACTTGGAATTAAACTCCAGAAAAACTAACCATAAAATCATTGGAAATAATTACTTCCGATGAGTGGTAATGAAGGAGAGTGTATCGAACCTTACTTTTCAGTTAGCATCCTCTTCAGTGTTTGAATTTTCATTATGGCACATGTTGCCAGCATAATAATTAAATAAATAAATATATTAATAACAGAGCAAATGATCACATCTAATCTAGTTTTATGTCTACATTTTCACACATTTATCTGAATAAAAGCTTATAAAGAGACACCAGTTTTTGTTTCAGTGTTGGTTGGTAAAATAAAAGATAAATGCCGATCTGGGAACCACTATGAAAGTACAAAGACTAGCTAAGTACAATCCAGTCAAAATACGTTGATGCCAGAATATGTAATTAATAAAAGAACTCTATACAAAGGATCCTTCACATCTAGAACCAGAAAAGCTCACACAGTGATTCACTGTAATTTATCTCCTTAAAGTACTGCAGGTCTATATGCCCCTCCAAAGGGAAACGCTGCTGTTTTGGACACAGTAAACACATCCATTGTCCTAATACTACCTCTCGTCCTATCTCTATGCTTATAAACATGGCACTATTTTTACCTTGAGTAATGCATGGCTTGGTGGCCTGCAATATTAAAATAGAAGTCCGTGGTATGCTTCATCTCATTGGTGTGCCCAGTTGACTCAATCCAGTGTCCTATTGGGAGACAATAAACACCATCCACCAAGTTGTTTTCATTATAAGTACAGCAACGGTCATGGTGAGGTCCATTGCCTGGAACAAGAAGAAATGACAAACAGAGCAATTAAATCAATGTTTTGCTTAAGCAGCCACAGAGTAGCTGATGCAAAATTAATAGGAAGAAGAAAATAAATATAAAGCTGCTCAATCCACACATTCCGGTATGAACAAAAATAGACTAGAGGGGAAAAACAGAAAAAATTTGTAATTACATACGAATTTCATAGAGTTCTGTGCTCCCTTGGAATACATGCATATTTCCAAAAGCATATTAACTCTCAGAGTTTAATGGTACCTCTCAGTGCCCTAACTACCCGTTGTGAGTCATTCTGCAGCCTTTTTATCTTTCTGGTATGCAAATTCATAACTAAAATCAGTAATAAAAAAGAATCAGTAATAAAGTGTTTTAGTATCAGCTCAAACAACAAATGAATTTTCAAAATAAATACATTAATAAATAATAAAACAAATGATCACATCCAACCTAGTCTGCATGTAAATCAGTGGTTAGTACTTTTTTCAGATGGGAAATTATCACAGAGATTAGCTACGTTGCCCAAGGTCACAAAACTAGCAAGTGCCAAGCTAGTAGCAAACTGATACCCCTAGATCCCCATCTTTCAGGCACCTGATACCTTCATGCTGTCTTCTGCCTACTTCACAAGCACCAGTACACACCATCCTCCCTCCATGGAATGAACCAAAAGAGAGAGAAATGGAAGAACTGTCTCTGAAAATACTATTTGCCTACATCACATTCCGCCCAGTATCAACTACACTAGTACACATATCTTTTACTCCTATGAAATTATAATTCATATATTATTTCTATTCGCCCTTATGTGACCACCCCATTTCAAATCATTCCTTTCCTTCAACTACCTAATTTCCTATACTGTCTTTAATACACAAAAAAGTAAGCAAAATAAAAATAGGAGTAAGTCACGTTTGCTACAAATATAAAAATCTGACTCATTTGTCCCTTGCTCTATCTTATAAAATATTTTACCTAAAGTTATTTGGCATAAAATCTCAAAAACAAAGAAATCCTTAAGTCATTGGGCAATTCTTTAGGATATAACTCCCTTCCATCAGGTAGGAGATACAAGATGGCTCCCTTAATAAGTCACCACTGATCTCCCTAGATCAGACTTCTCTTTTTCTCTTGATGGCTACAAGGCACTACACCAACTGGTCCTTCACCCTTGATATTTAATAGATGAAAACCAAACTATACTAGCAACCCCACTTCTAGAAACATATCAAATAGAAATATAACAAGAATAAAAAAGATACATAGAGATACATGTGTGAACAATACTATTTTAATAGCACACACTCAACTATATAAATTCATCTATTCATTTTTCCACAAATACTTATTAAATGTCATCTACAGGATCTACACTGTGCTAAGTCATGTTAAGGATTTTGGTATTTACCGTAGGAACAAGAAAAAAAATTAAATATTTAAGTAGGCAGGTAACATAACCAAATTTTTATTTTAAAAGTATCTCTCTGGTTACAGAGTAAAAATTTAATTCAGATACAATAAGACTAAAGCAAAAAGTCCAGTTAAGAAACTACTGGTCTAGCCCAGACAGAAGATGACGAAAGCCTAGAGGTAGAAACGGAAACGAGTGGGCAGATTCAGGAAGGAAAAACCACAGGGTGGATATGGGAGGTGCAGAAGAAAGGGAGGCAACAGTGACTCTAGGCTTCTGGCAAATATAACTCAATATACGGTGGTACCATTCACTAAGATGTGAAATCTGTAAGAGGTTGGAAGGGAAGACCACCAGTCTGGTTTTTGGACTTGAAGTGCCATTTGTATACAAAAAGAGATGTTAAGTACAGAGTTGGCATTATCGGTTTGACACTCAGACCAGAGATCTGAAGTAGAAAAATAAATTTATGAGTCATCTAAGTGTAATGGCAATTGAGGCAAGGATTTAGATGAGTCACAAAGAAAAACAATAGTAATGCAGAAGAAAAGGTTTCTAGAACCAAGTCTGAAAGCATCCCAATATTTAATAGCTGGATAAAGAAGGATGAGCTTACAGAGAAGGCATAGAAAGAGAAGGTGGAGGGAAAGACTAGGAGTGAGTAAGGGAGGTGGGGGAACATGATTGAACGTGTAAATAGATCCTAAACACTGAGTGAATGCATGTCTGATTGTTAATAGTTACATCTGGAGAATGGAATTGGGATGAAGAGGACCATTTTACTCTCAACTAATCTGAATTTATTGGATTTGTCATAAAGCACAAGTATTACTTTTTGGTTTAATAAAAGAATAATATCTGTGGTTCCCACTGTTCAGTACAATAGACTTACAACAATTTATTTATTTACTTTTTATTTTAAGTAGACTCCACGCCTAATGTGGGGCTTGAACTCTTGACCCTGAGATCAACAGTCAGGTGCTCTACTGACTGAGCCAGCCAGGTGCCCCTAGACTTATGACAGTTTAAAGATTTTATTTATTTATTTATTTATTTATTTATTTATTTATTTATTTATTTTAGAGAGAGACAGCGAGTGCAAGCAAGAAGAGGAGCAGAGGGAGAGGGAGAGAGAGAAAACTAAGCAGACTCCATGCTGAACACAGAACCTGACTCGGGGGTGGGGGGGCTTGATCTCACATCCCTGAGATCATGACCTGACTCGGGGGTGGGGGGGCTTGATCTCACATCCCTGAGATCATGACCTGAGCCAAAACCAAGAATTGGATGCTTAACCGACTGAACCACCCATGTACCCTGAGACTTAACGACAATTTAAATGTTACAACTTAAATACAATTATTAAGGAGCTCAAATGTACATAAATTATAAAGTTTAAGAAAAATTATTTATATAACATCAACTTCCTAAGAATTCTTCATTCCTGGAATTAGTTTTTTGAATTACTCATTTTTACACATACGTGTTTTAGGAGAAGTAACAAAACACTTCTTTTTCTTTCAGCCAGGGAGATATCAGTGGAGGCCTAATGGAGAGCCAGAACTCCCACCTCACTCAGTAGTAATAAAGTCAATCCCTTCAGTTGTCAATAGGTGGGGAGGCACCCCCACCCTCCTACTGGAGCAGAGCTAGAGGAATCCAGTTAAACCAGAAGATTTGAATAAGATCCAGGTCACATTATAAAATACTCAAAATGTCCAGGTTTCAATAGAGTCACTCCTTATATCAAAAATCACAAAGATCTCAGACTGAATAAAAATTAAAAATGTCTGCAGGATGCCAACATCCGATGACAGAGATGTTAGAATTATCTGAAAAAGAATTATCTGAAAAAAAAGAATTATCTGAAAAAGCTTCAACAACCCATTTTTATTTTTTTTATTTTTTAAAGATTTTATTTATTTGACAGAGATAGAGAACACAAGTAGGCAGAGTGGCAGGTAGAGAGAGAGGGAGAAGCAGGCTCTCTGCTGAGCAGACAGTGCAACACAGGGCTCCATCCCAGGACCCTAGGATCATGACCTGAGCCGAAGGCAGCCATTTAACCAACTGAGCCACCCAGGCATCCCAACAACCCATTTTTAAAAAATGAACCAAGTGTATGATGTCTAGAAGAAACTCACTTCAAATTATAGGCAGGTGGAAAGTAAAAGTGTAGAAAAAGATATACCATGCAAACATTAATCAAAAGAAAGAACAGGTGGTTATGTTAATATCATATAAAGTAGAACCTTCAGAGCAAAGAAAATTACTAGAGATAGAGAGGGAAATTATATGATGTTAAAAGTATCAATCTATCAAGAAGCTATAAGAATTCTAAATGTGTACACAACAAAAAATAGAGCTGCAAAATATGTGAAACTAAAAACTAAGACAACTGAATGGAGAACAGACAAGTCTGGAATTAAAGTTGGAAATTTCAACACCTCTTTCTCAACAATTCATAGAACAACTAGACAAAAAATCAGCAAGGAATAAAATAACATCACTGTCAACCAATGGACTCTGACATTTATAGACACACCACCCAACAATAGCAGAATGTACATTTTCAAGTATGCACAGAACATATACCAAGCTAAATCATATCCTGGACCATAAGACAATATCAAAACTTTAGAATTAAATCACACAAAGTGTTTTCCCTGACCTCAACAGAATCAAACTGGAAATCAATAACATAATAGGAAAATATTCAAATAGTTGGAAACTAATATACATACTTCTAAATAATCTGTGGGTCAAAAAGGAAGTCTCAAAGTTATTAAAAATACATTGCAATGAATGAAAATCAAAATAATATGTGTCAAAATATGCGGGACACAGCTAAAGCAGTGCTGTGAGGAAAATTTATAGTACTAAATATATACAGTAAAAATAGGAAAAGTTTCAAATCAATCTAGCTCCACTTCAAGAAATTAGAAAAAGAAGAGCAAAATAAATCCAAGGCAAACAGAAGGAAAGAAATAATAAAGAATGGAATCAATGAAATTAAAAACAGAAAAACATTAGAGAAAATCAATGAAATAAAGAGCTGATTTGTTGAAAAGATCATTAAAACTGGCAAACCTCTAACAAGACTGGCAAAGAAAAGTAAGAAAAGGCACAAATTATGAAAGAAAGGAAGAAAAGAAGGAAGGAAAAGAGAGAAAAGAAGGGATATCACTATAGACCTTGCAGGCATCAAAAGTATAAGATAATACTATAAAAAACAAAACACATAAATTTAACAACTTAAATGAAATGGACCATCCTCAAAACACAAATTACCACAACTCATTTAATATGAAATACAGATTGAATATCCATATAACTCTTAAGGATATTGGATACATAATTTTAAAACCCCCCAAAAAAGAAATCTCAAAGCCCATGTGGTTTCAATGAAGAATTCTACCAAATGCTTAAAGAAGAATCCATACCAATGCTATACAATCTCTTCAACATAGTACATGGGCATAAAGATAAAAGAAATAAAGAAAACTGTACTTTATTTGCAGATGACATGACTGTCTATGAAGAAAATCCCAAGGAATCAATAATAATTGTTTAAAATCTCCTAAAATA